GGAGGAGGAAGGAGAAGGTGGAATTGGGGGTTGAGGGTGGATCATGTGAATTCCACTGTCTGTCGTTATGACCATTCAGGTTCACAACATTGTTGTTGAATGTCAAACAAGGAAGGGGATGTGCAGTTGTGTGTGTGTGTGTGTAGAGTGTGTGTAGAGTGTGTGTAGAGTGTGTGTGTGTAGAGTGTGTGTGTGTGTGTGTGTGTGTGTGTGTGTGTGTGTGTGTGTGAGAGAGAGAGAGAGAGAGAGAGGAGGAGGAGGAGGAGGAGGAGGAAGGAGAAGGGGGAATTGGGGGTTGAGGGTGGATCATGTGAATTCCACGATCTGTCGTTATGACCATTCAGGTTCACAACATTGTTGTTGAATGTCAAACAAGGAAGGGGATGTGCAGTTGGTCTACAGAGCTCGTATCAGTAGTCTCTATCCCTGTGTAAATGGTAAAAGTGACTTGGAGGAAGGACTTGTTAGAGGTGTGTGCATTGCGGAGTAGCATCTCAACTCAGTGCATTGAGATGATGGAGCAGCGTCTCAACTCAGTGGACCGAGGTGGCAGAGCAGGATCTCAACTCAGGATCGAGATGAAAGGGCAGCATGTCAAGTCAGTGCCTCGAAATGGCAGAGCAGCTTCTCAACCCAGCGCATGGAGATGGCAGAGCATCAGCCCAACTCTGTGAATTTAGATATTGTTTGTTCCTTCCCGTTGATCATTTTCTCCAGCACCAGCAGATTGAGTGAGGCAGTGTTCAGGGCAGCTTACAGCAATTTTAACAACTATTCGAGATGGGCTGGCTCTCATGCAGAAACGTCGGAAAAATAGGAAACCCCCAGGCTGTTGAGTGGGAGCGGTGTTGGTGTTGTACTGTTTGGAATCCCATTGGATGAAGTTCTCTTGTTCTTCTAGTGTCTGATGATGGTTTGAGAAAGAGGGGAGGGGGGGGGCATGGAACGGGGTGATGACCTCTCAAATTGGGCAGTCTGCGCCAGTTTTTTCCTTTTGTGAGAAAATGTGAGATATTTTGCAAATTATGGCTTGGATTGCTTGTTTTGATGGCTCTTTCTTTGTTTATACTGAATAAAGGAAGACCAGAAAGTGTAAAGAGTTGGCTGAAAGTGCCCATGATTCAGGACATGGCCTCCTGAAAGCCAAAGCATAGTCAGTCAGAGGTGAGGGAAGGCCTAGGCAAGCAGCGAGGGAATATGGGACAAGTGAATGCTAGGAAACACAGCACAGCTTTTGTTTCTTGTTCAATTTGTGTTATCTTTGCATTATTGCCCTTCTTCCACAACTGTGGGGTTGTGAATTCCGGTCAAAACTCATGTTGTGCCATGTTTCTTTTAACTCTTTTCTTTCTTTTCCTTTTCCAAGACCTTTGTGTCTGCTCTTGAATTTTTCCTTTTTGTTGCTGTTTGTTTAAACATCCGGAAATGTTTTTGTCAGATTCTCGGGGCATTTAGTAGTCCAGCAGTTCTTTGAAGGCCCGGGATACATGCATGCATGTATCCAGTACCTAGTAGGATGACATACTTCGATTTGTCAGACATATATATGTGCACATGGACAAATATGTACGTACGGGTATATATACATGCACAGAGTCTTCACTTATCCTTCCCTGTCCTGTTATCTGTATTCCACACTCCTTGCTTTCCATCCACCGTCCTTTTCTCTGTCTTTCCTCTTCTGTCTCACTGATACATGCTCGATCGGGCGATGTATGGAGCCAAAGGATCCGCAAAGTGACGAAAAGAACTCGAATGGACAATGCAGCATCAGCGAAGCATGCACAAGCAATGTACATCCAGATACATACGAAAATAGCACAATGTAGCGCAGCGGAAGACTCAAAGATATGACCTGACCTGTGCGACTCAACCATCACACATCACACATGTGAGAGGGGAGGAGGGACCGCATACATGGAAGAAAAGGTCCCTCCTTGCACACACACATGGGGAGATACCACGGATGAAGTGAGGGAGGAGGGGCAAGACGAAGATGGAGATGAAGGAGAGGACGCAGATTGCGATAGTGAAGTCCAAAAATAGTCTCCCTGCCGAATGGCCAATCAATGTCTGCCACAAAAATGTCGAATCAGACCCTGGGCCTCATAGCCTGGTGTAACCTCTGCCTGTAACCTCTCTCTCTCTCTCTCTCTCTCTGAAAGAAGAAGAAGAAGAAAAAGAAAAAGAAGAAGAAGAATTAAGGGCAAAGAACAGACAATCCTGTCACACGGAGAGCGGAGATAACACATGAAGATGCAACATTATACCACTTGTCATCTCCACCAAACACCGCTGAAAAAACATACGCCATCCTTGACGCATTTCAGCTTCTGCGTACACCAAGTCTCTTCAGGAGGACCAGACTACCTTCCCAAATGAGTCATCTCATCTTTATAGCTCAGCGCATTCACCTACTTCGCTCTATCCCACCATCTCCTTACCTCTCTCCCTCAATTCATGGCTTCGTCCAAAAACTCAACAGCATGATAGGCCGTCTCCCTGCTCGTTGCCCTGTCCCTGCCTTGCATATCCATCCCGACTCAAAGGAGTATAACTTTACTGCTTGTGAAGTGCAGATCGCACGTTGTGCTCGTGATATATACATAAGTCATCAGCACGACTCTCTATTCACCAGATCCGGGCCCAAAAAACAGTCCTAGTTCCGAGTAGCGGTTTGTCAGCTAAGACTACGGGGGCCCGAAATCGAGTCTGGTAGCAGACAGCAGGTGCTCAAAAAGCCGGTACCAGTTGGACCATGCCCCATCCTCTCTCAAAAACTGCTTTTTTCTTTTTTTTCTTTTTTTTTTCCCATTCCCTTCCTCCTATTTACTTCAACCACTTCTTGCTACCCATGCTGTATCTAGCTCTTATAACCAATTACATACCGAATTCGATATTGCAATCAGACTCGTTCTCGTTCACACTTTTCACGCATGTAAACAGCAGCACAGCAACTGGCGACATGCGCCCACTCACTACTCAGAGATATGGCTTCCAGATACGAGTTCACTTTCAACTGGCTATGGCGTCTCAGCGCCCAAACAACTCACTGCTCACACACACCGGATCACCCTGGATATCCCACACGCGTCACTCTGAACACTTGCACATACACACACACTTCACACTATCTGCAGCTATGGCAGCTATGGCGGCCTCTACCCTATCGCTATACTAAGCTCCTCCTCTCTCGCTCACTGCGTCCTCCGGGCTCACTGCAGACCTCCTTGCACAAGTCGCTCTGACAGCGCTTCCGCATGGCTCACGCAGGAATGAATGAAAGGCTGGGCGCTGCCTCTTGATTTATACTTCGGAAACTCGTTGGTCTGCCCTTTGCCATCGGCCCATGGTGTGCACAGTTCCCCGTGGTACTTGCTGGACCGGACTGGGACTGACTGGACCTTACCGCTGACTGTCTGTGGACTCACTGCTATCCTACCGTCGTCGTACTGTGATTGCACTGCAGTTTAGTCCACCACTTGCCTCGCCACTTGACCACTTGCCCACTTGCCGACCTTCTAGAAGGACTACAGCTAGACTTCTGGAACTTGCTAAGACTTCTACTCTATAGACCTACAGATCGAACCCCTGCTACCTACGGACCTATGACAGACCTACCAACTGTCTACGAATACACAGGTCACAGGTTCAACTCTCGGGTCTACACAGATACTGTACATGGGTAGGATGAGGTCTAGGGATCGAACCCTGGGATCTGCATCTACACTGCAAAAGGTGAAAACCGTTTCAATATCTTTTTCTCCCCGCGTACCACACTCGTCTGTTATCTGACAGTTGTGCCCAAAAAACTTTGTTACCTATGGATCAGAATTTTCTCCAGTACCTGCTGGCCCATATCAAAAATTACAGACAGATGATCACCAAACCCTCCGAAAAACGGGATCAAAAACACCTTACACTCGAAGGAATACGCTGAGAGGAACTCTGGTACGCCATATGCGCCAGCTATCTATTGATCCTCTGGTGGGGGTCTGGGAAATCGGAGATTTCCAGGAACCACCTGCCAGTGGCACCACGTTGGCAAACTGTGCCAAGGATGAGAAGAAGAACTCCGGGGGGAACCTGGAGGCAATCTTTAGAGGCAAGAGCAGCATCGTCATCTGTGGCTGATCTCCACAGTCGTAACATTGATGCAGTCAACGTCACCTGTTTTACCTTCTTGACTGAACAAGGCTGGAAGTCCTGCATCGATTGGAAGCGGATCTTCCCATGCTTGCTCAACCATTTCTGATTCTTAGTCCTTGGAAAAATATGCACTTTCACTGGGCTTGGTTCCACCATTAACTTACACCCGAGAAAATCCCAAATGTTCCAATCATTATCTTTTCTAACCAGTTTAGGCTTTCCAGATGGCATAGCTCAAACTGATGAATAATCCGAAGAATTCTCAGGTAACTCATGGAGGTTGCCGAGTTGAAGGAGACGAGAATAGAAACGTCATCCACCATCCTGACCCCGGCCATTAGACGTTGGTCATTGCCTAGTGATGAGAGAAATACAAATTCTGACCTCGCGCATAACAAATTTGCCAGAGAGGATGATGAGTGCTTTCCCATTGGGATACCGAACACCTGTCTGTACACTCTCCCTTTCACACACCGTACAGGTGTGACTCAATTCATATGCTGCAATCTTCATTATCCGAGAGAACGTGAGACAGACAAAACCACCTTCTTTCCCTGTTGTTCTAGCCGTCTTACAACCCTTCCCTCAAACACTTACCTTAGCTGCAGCCAGCCCCCGGTGCTCATAAGTGTGCATCAGCCATTCTGCTGCTGACGGTATGTCTGTGTGCAGGAGCTTGGCGAACATGTCCTTGATGTCATAACTCCTAGCTATGACTGTGTCGCCAGCTTACCGCTCTGGTCATGGCAAGCCTCAGCTCATCGGTAGACTTTAAGCTGAAGTGGCATGCTGTTGGCAATCCTAGGAGTATGTACCTCATTGCCCTCCCCATCCTTGCACTAGCTGTTCGGGATGGTTCGGACCATGATGGAGAAATCAGTCTCCATCGTACCAGATCTGTCCTTCCGGATCACATACGCCCATCCCAACTTCCCACATGAGCACCACGTGGCCACTTGCTCGAGTCCGGCTTCCTTGTAAGCTGCCTTCGATGTGGCCAGTATCGTTTTCTTGGGCTCCTTCATGCTCCAGAATCCAGTGTTCCAGGTGAAGGACATTTGGAATGCGTGAAAGTGCAAGACTGGACAAATTACAAGCGTAGCCCTTGGGTTCCTATCGAGAGGAACCAGAACCAGATCCTGCAGCTGGTGCATTTCCTTTTCCACCTGCTGTTCTGTCATAGCGGCAGGAGTGGCCCCTGATTTAAACCACCAGTACTTGGTCCAGCTATCGGCCGCGGAAAAAAGTAGAGTCGAAACGCTTCTAGTTGGATGGATATTGGCGCTCCTGTAGTGGCCCGTACGTTTCCTAAAATCGTGGTGCGTTACCGGGCACGATTTTAGGAAGTACTGGTGGTTTAAAACAAGCATTGATTTCATCGCGCTTAATCTGGAGCACGCTGGCCCTCCAGGTCCTTGGTATCGCGTCGATCATCCGTTCCATCAGCTGCCAGATCCGTCTGCATGTCACATTCCTCGAGTTGTGTACAAAGCGTGGAAGCCCAAGGATATCATCCAGCCTTGTCCTCACATGCCCTTGATAACGCTGCAGTTGCAATTCTGCGCATGTGCACACATCTTGATTACCTTCCAACTTCCTCTTGAAGTTGTGTATGATCGCTCCTACCGTCCTTCCCTGCATACCGACTAACTTCATTCTCTCCATTACGAGAGAGCGGATAGCTTCATCCACTACAGACGATGATATGATCCTTACAGACAGATTCCTGACGCCACCTAGATCCAGGTGCGTTGAAAACCCAACCTTATCACCAATCACTTTTTCTCCTTTATCCCAAATGCATCACGCAAGTTTTGCTCGCAGGAAGCTCCTTGTCGAGCTCCTTGAGAACAGGCCAGTTGTCCCAAAAAGCGCCACCATTCTTCTGTTCGACAACCTATTTAGATCTTTCACACGACAGGGGTGTGCTAACGGATCACGA